TTTTTTTTGCTTTATAGTTTTCTTTTGTGATGTCTTTATTCTTTGCCTGGTTTTGAATTAGGATGATTTTCTTGATGAATTCATAAGAGCTCAATGTAGTAAGAATATTTTATTATATGCTATATGTTGCAGTTTTCTCCATTTTTATCTTACATTTTAATTTTATTGTGCTTTTTGACACAAAAACTTCTAAATTTTCAGGACTCATTTCTATAATTCTTTTTTTTCTTTTCAGTTTTTTTAATGATAAAAATGACCTTTTCCCACCACAATATATAATAAATGTTTTTCTGTGCTGTCTTATTCTTTTATGCTTTTTTACATTTACCAATTTAATATAGCTGATACATACTTTACTGTATTATGTGAGGTAGAAGTCTAATTTTTTTCCCTGACCACTTAATTGACTGTTTCAACATCATTTCCCAGTGATTTGGTATGTCACCTTTATCTCAGTTTCCAGACTGGGGGCTAATGTCAGTGTCTGGGTTTTGTATTCTGTGCCACTGCTCTGCCTGTTTTTGCAGTAGTACCATACTATTTTAATTATTGTAATTCTGTTATATTAATATGTATTGAAAACCTGCTCTGCTGAGGCGGGGTTGGGGGAGTGTTCATTGATGAGTAAGCTAGGTCAGTTCCAAATCTCTGCATTCATAAAGACACATCAGTTTTTGGCTGTATAAGTTTGCTGATTTCTCTTTTCTATAAATTTTTTCTTTACTAGTCTTTTCCATTTATTTTTCGTGATGAATTTTGGAATCACTCTATCTGATGGTGTGGCTGCAATTTAATTAAACACCTTTAGATTAGTAGGTGGTTAACTGACCTATAGCATTAAAGCTTCATGTTTCATGAAGATGGCATTTTTCTAAGCTGGCTTTTTTATATCCCTCTGTGCTTTTTTAAGGTTTTCTTTGTATGAGGACTGTCACTTTTTCCTTGTTAAGAGCGTGTGTCATTGTATCAGTTATCAGTTGTAATACCTAGTTCAACTCCACAGGTCTTCTGAATAACTCTTCTAATATTCAGCATAAGGTTGGTCAGCAGTTTTAAATATCACTGTTAATGAACTCATCTTTTTTCTGAATCGCCTTAGTTTAATGGTAGGTTGGAAGAGGTGGAGTCATGGCATGTTAGCCAGATGCCATCTTGGAGTCATTGCTCTCTCTAGTATCTTTCACCGTGAGAGAGGTGTAGCTCAAGAAGGAAGTACTCAGACCTGGTTCCTTCTAATTGTGTGGTTTTAAGAATCACTATCAGAATCACTTCATAAGTTATAGAAATGTCTAACCACCACACTGTGCACCCAAAATTAATATAACGTAATATAATATATAATATAAATAATATAATATAATACG